TGTAAATTACGATACGGACGCTGTGAATTTACTCACAGAGATGTATCATGATCACGGAGATACCATTGCGCTTCAGTACGGCGGCTCGCATTTGGTGAATACTATGGAAACGTATAGACGGATCAATCAATGGACGAGTCATTCACGTGACTTGATTGAAAGTATTCGACGCTACTACAGTAATTCCTTTGTTGGTATGTATGTTGTTGGTCCGCTTGATCAATAGAACTAACGTTGAATGTAGACAACCAACGACAGGAAGCTATCAATCTTTTTTTAGGTAACTATGTGTTTGAGAAAGGACAGCCTATGTTATGGGACTTAAGTACAGATTACTACCTCCATCATGGTGTTCCTACTGGGAAGAAACCACCTCGACGCAGTTATCGACGGTGGTGGACATCAATCCATCTTCAGCAGCCCCTTACACAACGTGAAATTGAAAGTCTGGAGAAAGAAACAATTATGGGAGACAGTAACACGAATCCGAGGTTAACTTCAGGTTTTTTCGACAATTATTGGATGGAATATTATAAGCCGAAATTGCTATCTTCATTTTCAAAGGTGTTTCAGTACAACATGAATTCCACCTTGCGATACCTGCCTTCTATGTAAGATGGGCCAACCACTTTTTGTCCATTACGCAAGTACTAATAGCAATTTTCGTAGGGTTGTCGGCAATAGTAAGTACAACCTAAGTCCGTTCGAGCCTCGGCAGCTTCACATCGATCACCAGACGAAGGACTTCCTTGAAAAGGAACGCATTGCAGACGACCGAAGCAGTATCATAAGCGCCATCAGTACTCGTCGTACTCGAAAATTCTTGGACATTGGATTTATCGACTTTTCGTCTAAATTGGAAAAGCGCAGTCCTTCTCCGTCGCCACCTGAAACAGAAAGTCCGCCATCGTCAAGAAGCGACGATTATTATAGCCAAGTTGCGTCATTGCCTATTGACAATGACGACGGATTTGATGACACTCTTTGGTGCTATGGCGGCGAGAAAGACGATAGAGGGTTTCAATCTGAGATTCGGGATATGACCGAGATTGTGGACCATATTATGAAGCCGACTGTCGCAAATTCCGAGACCCAAGAATATCGGAAATATTTGTCTACGAATCCGGACATTGCGCCATTAGGAATCGCCGAGAAGAAAGCACTGATGCGTAATCAGCAGCACTTAGATTTTGAGAATTACATTAAGAGCACCCTGCCTAGTGTAATTGACTCGGACTATGTGTCCGATGAAGATAATATGCTATATCTGCAGCATGTTTTGGCCCCAGAAATTGCCGCATCGATGAAAACTTCAGACGATGAGCAGTTTAAAAGATTTAGAAGTTATCAAATTTGGCTTAAGGGCAATTATGTTGGAGGGAAAGCAGTAAAGGTGTAGGCAAGGGAACTGATTGTTTTGGGTTGGTTAATTGGCGTTTTGGGGATTTTGTTACGACATTTAGATATGGGTTATTCTACATTATTATAGCTGCATTTTATTCTTGTACACAACGTCAAGCAAATATATCACTGAAATAAATGCTCAAACTTTTTGTCAACTTTCACTATTTCCCTAACTGTATTCTCCCAATCATTTTCGCTAATTTGCTTTTTAACTAATGTAGCCAGATTAGTGGTGATACCTCGAAGATGGTCTTTTAAGCTCTGCATCTCATCCGACGTGCCGTTTCCCCAAGTTTGTCCCCAGCACGACAACAGGCCCTTGAGAATCATAAATCGATATGCTGCTATTCTGGATGACGTTTGTTCGATTATTATATTGAGAGTGTTTAACGTCGTATGCAGAAGTCGTGGATACACCGTGCCAAACGGGTCCGATAAAATGTTTACAATAATTTCCGTCACTTTCTGTAGTCAACTAGTTAGTGCATAACTGCTTATACGGACTATAACGAAACTACCTGTAAATATATGACAAAATAAATGTCCATCTTCTTGGCGATGATCCCGAGTTTGGAAATCAGTATGTCAGCTACCTCCACATGCTCACCGCATAGACGCATGCCGCTGTATATACCTTCGATGATAATCGATCTTAGGTATTTTGACTGTCGTTTCTGTATTTCACGAGAATCTACTACGGATACCAGGTCTGTTGGGACTGTTTTCGATCCTGTATCCTGAGACCTAATAGACGATAGAAGGATAAGATCAGTGTATGCGATATCCAGTAGATTAACTGACTCTGTGACGGTGACGTTGGACGAATCTAGGGGAAGATACGCGAGACATGCCATTAGCGCGTCCCAAAAGATACCTGCGATGCCGGTGACGAGGATGACTTGAGGATTTACTTTCAACAGTAGGATGTGAAGTATCGAACAACCTCGGGCTTTGTAAACGGGACCGACATCGTCGATAATGGCAAGTATAGACGGTACAAGAAGAGGCCAATTGTTCGACATAAATTTCGTCTGTGTAAAAATCAGTAAGTAGGCTACATTGCGCGCCCCAGGTTTATCAATAATACCTACATCAGCGGAGGAGAGTACAAAGTGTAGTAACGAGGCGGCCTCTGGTCGTTGTGCAGTCCAGGGCGACTCATCGTCAATATCGAACGGGATTCGCAGTTCATGTTCGCGTGACGATGAGTGCCTGCCAGCTGAGGTCACATTTTTATGCTTAGTTGACTTGAATATTGGACGTAATGTTTCAGCTAAGATCTGTTTCCCAGTATCTTCGGTGTCGAATGGCACTGGAGTATACGTTTCAATCAGAGATTTCGCAATTCTGTTTGATTCAGATGTGCACCAAGGATCCTCTGGAAGCAAGTACGTCGCAATGGCCTCCACGACTGTCCGAGAATCAAGATTGTCAAAGACGGGATACAAGTACTCCAGTACCTCAGCTAAGGCTTTCAGCAAATTGAGTGCTGTCTTCCTATATTCTAGCTGTAAGTTCCATCGGCTCTTCGTTTCAACTATGCAACGTTAAAATCTACTAACTTCAACGAAGAGCAGATACTAATTACCGAATTCGTCTTGAGCCCAAATCCATTTCCCTGTGAGAGGACGCAACAATGCGCATATTCGGTTTAACAGATCAGTCGTATATGTTCTCCACTCAGCGGAGAGGTCAACTTCCTCTGAGTTTATAAAATGGAACAATGCGTATAAAAATTGCGCTTTCTTGGAGATCTGGGCGTCAACGGTTAGCAACGTTCCTCCGCACATAGTAATTTTACGAGGTACCTCAGACAGCTCATCGACGGACACGCCAGCGCCAGTGGTATACTGCAAATCATCCTTATTAAATACTTCGTTCTGTGTTTTTGTTTCCAATAACTGACGAAGGTAACTCCTAAATGGGCAGTTAGTGGTTGTTGCTGGAACATAGAAATGAATCGACGTGCCGTTCCTGATCGGTCAACTTCTGGAAGTCAGCAATGTTATAGCAAAATTGTGCATATGCACTCGCCATGCCCGTCCGAATATTTCGATCAGAGCATCAAGAAGCCGATGGTATCTTGTGGTAGACCATTAAACGATGACAGAGTTTGCAATGATATCAAAATTGAGCCGCACCGAAGGCGCAGACATGTGAGAGGTTGAGGGAACATAGGACATTGATCCCATATAAATAAATGTGCAGCATTGCTATAATCAGTAGATTGACATAATCGCAGTCAAAGTCGGCGTAGGGAGACTGCGGAGCCCAATATTATATGTCTGACGTATCTTAGGAAGTAAATCGGGAACCCGCCTGGCCTATGGCCGACATCGTGATCTTTTCTATATACTTGAATGGAAGTCATCTATTATTTATACGCAATTATGTTGAATGTACAATCATTTATAGTAACGTTCGGCGACTACGCGATTGTTTTACGATATCTCCACGATGGTCACCGTGAAAGGGAGAGCACAACTCATTGCGGACAATTCCGCTGACCCGCTCACGTCACAAGCGGCTCGACGAACTGCAGTGCGTGCACCCTGTCTGCCACAAATAGAAGTTATTTTGAACGTAATTGTGTATCTAGGCACGTCTTATCGAGTACCCTAGATCGGCTTGCAGGGGCGCTCCATTTCCCGCTATCTCTAAGGTATTTGCACCAATCCCCTTGTCACCTCTGACACTCACGGCAACGGCTCGCTATTGAAAGATCGTAGTGATATGATTTATCACAGGTCACTGCAAAGTGAGTTACGTTTCAGAGCTGGTATATGTTCCATCAAGTCGTTCACAGTTTCGCCGCGTTACCGTCGACAATAATTAAGCGAAGATCACAACACCTCCGTGGTCGACCTACGAAACAGCCAATCTCGCCAAGTAGCTCAACGTACCAGATCATTGTCCGCATTGGGCCTGCTTAACCAGTACAATCAGTCCAAATGGTTCGCTCTCAGTAAATTTCCGAGTGGACCGCCAATCTATCGTGTTCAGATCTCTTCGACACACAGTCTTGCGGTGAGCAAGACCTCACAGAAAGCAACGCGGCCGTATTATGCTCTTTCAGTGCCTTGACTCTTAAAGAGCCGCTTTAGCTTTTCAAGGCCACCAGAGGTGCCATTCGATTTAGCTCACGATCCAGTCCACCAGTCGGTTGTATGATTAGCTGAGAGATGAGAGTACCCCAACCCTAGCACCAAAGATCTAAGTTCAAAATTAGTTTGGATTCAGCGAACTTCTGCAGAAAATAGAAACCTAATTACGCCGTAGCCAAGATATTATCCTCACAACGATCATTGTTGCCCATTTGTGTGGCTTCCATTTATTAATTCGATGTATCGACATACGAGCGTTACTTCATTCTTTCCAGGTTCTTTATCAGCTACTCGTTGAGCCTTCATTTCCTTGCCTCAACGGAGTTGACAAGATCAAGGAAGTCAGAATAGTATACAGATATGTGATGAGCTATCTTCACATAGAAGCAGATCAGACACACGGATTTATTAAGGACAAGGGAAACCGGTAACATGTTATTTATCAATGACTGAACATATACTTTAGGAGGCCAACAAAAATGAAGGAAAAAAGGGCTCAACCGGGAATTGAACCCGGGACCTCTCGCAAACTATTTTAATAGCAACTTAGAGTTAACAGCCCTACGCGAGAATTATACCATCAGCAACTCAATCAGAATAGTGCGAATACACTATAGTACTTACGGATTGTAGAATTGTACGCAGAAGGATGCAACAGGTTCAATACGTCGATAAGCATTCAGGTCGTGCGCCAATAATGCCTCAATTTAGCTGAAAAAAGCAGACACCAAGTTCCGAAAATGTCCGCAAAAGTTAATCTTGGCAAGATAAGGACAACCTGGTTTCTGCCATTCACCAACGTCCAGTGCGTGAGGCAGTTCAACTCAGTTACCGGCTGTCTCGGAGCAACCTAGTGGAATTCAACTTCTTGCTATTATCCTCACAACGATCATTGTTGCCCATTTGTGTGGCTTCCATTTATTAATTCGATGTATCGACATACGAGCGTTACTTCATTCTTTCCAGGTTCTTTATCAGCTACTCATTGAGCCTTCATTTCCTTGCCTCAACGGAGTTCCCGGAAATCAATATACGAATATCACGATGAGAAAACCGACTTCTACCTCAGATCATCTCGACGCAGATGACGCGGCAATGCTTCTTCTTACTGCCGGCATAAGTAAGGCATATCAGCGGTTAGACTACATGATAGTACGGAACTTTATCGGTGGCGCTTTAGTGTCAGTCGGTGGATTGGTCACTCTGCTAGTGAAAGGCGGTTGTGGCGGACTATCAGAATCAAATCCAGCTGTTGTCCAGCTGCTTCTTGGCCTTGTTTTCCCTGTCGGTCTTGTTATGTCAACTCTCACTGGTGGGGAGCTCTCCACTGGCAATATTCTGTTCCTATCCATAGCATTATTGCAGCGCAAGATACCATTATGGAGGTCGATTTATTGTTTTGTAAGTCTGTTGGATTTAGTACATAATCAACATGCGAAATCTCTAACTGTATAATCGCAGTTAGTTTCATTTTTTGCAAATTTAGCCGGCTCGTTATTTTATCTTGTCATTGCACACTATGGTCGCATTCTCTCGGCGGATCCATATTTAACAGGTACCATTGTATTCGCCAATGATAAAGTTCTGGCTCCCAGCGCGAGCACAGTCTTTGTGAGAGCCATTGGTTGCAACTGGCTCATTTGCATCGCAGTATACACAGCGTTCTTATCGCGGACAGTCGTCTCCCGTGTAATCAGTATATGGATTCCAATCTTCACTTTCGTCGCGGTCGGTTTTGAAAATTCAGTGGCGAACATGTTCTTAGTCCCGATTGGTATGATCAATGGCGCGCCAATATCCGTTGGCCTATTTATATGGAAATCGTTGCTATTGCCGACCCTTGGAAATATGGTTGGTGGCGGATTCTTTGTCGCGCTGGTATATTGGTACCTTTATGTATTCTCCACAGATGGTGCCAAGGACGAAATAGACATGGGAAATGAATCGATATTACCGATTACTGAGCCTTCAACAGTTGCGCCTATCACTCAGATCGGGAATATATCCGTCCCTCTTTCCGACTTAATGGAATCTTTTAACCGGCGGGATCGGAAATTCCGTCGTATGTCTCACGATGCCAATAGTGTATCACCCACTGACTCGAGCAGATCCGGAGCCAATTCCGACACGGACGGAAAAGACGAATGAAGGTTGATCTATGGCTGAGGGTGCGTGTAATGTATTATTCCGTATGTCCCAAAATGTGCGGTGGGTCGCTGAGCTGATCCAGACGTCGTCGTATATTTTTTGACGTCATCGTATATTTTTGACGTCGTCGTATATTTTTTGACGTCATGATGGTTTTGGAGTATTATGGGACAATGGTTCATTTGATTTCTTTGATTCTTCTTGTTGGTTCATGTTCGCCTGCGTTATAGATTTCATTATATACAGTGGTTGTGGTTCTATATCTTTGGTGTTGGGCGCTTAATTGTATATGTACTGGAAAAAAACGACGGCTTACGAGTTAGGTATAGACGGATTAGATTGGTAAAATATGTTTAATTAATACTTCGTGCATCAGCCTCTACATATTATAACTGTAAGGGATCACCACGTAGGAAAGAGCGTGAAGTCATATGTCACGTCAATATGGATCTTGTTCACCATCGACTGGATAACGGCGAACATCGATTGTAGCCTCGACACAAATGTCGAGTTACGGTTCAAATGACCCCTGCATATATTACCAGCTCTGTGCTTATTAGCACCTCAAAGACATATAGATCACGAACATAGTTTCGCAAATCTTTTGAGGAAAGTTATTTGTTCGGGCCGATCATCCAATTCCTGGTGGTTTTTGTTCATACCGTGTGAAACGTTGACCCAGAAAGCGGCGATGAACGGATCCGGACGGATGCTTGTCCGTCGCGGACAGCAACAAGTTCGTCAGCTTTTCATATACTCCTCCGGATCTCGGAGTGCAGATGGTATCATCAGTGGACGGAGTGCGATGGTCGGAGCAATGAATCTAGCGTACTTGTTTAAGGAACTGCATTCTTTTACGGGGCCTCGATTTCGGCATCGGCAAAACTTTTCTACTCTTGGTAGTCTTCACAAGGGGTCGCGTTCGCTAGACGATCACATCATTTCAGATTTACCACCAGAATCTTCAAAGGATTCAGCATCATTTGAGAGTTCATCATGCCCGACTCAGACATCGCCAAACCCGATGGAAGCACAGATTCGAGCAACCGAACTTTTGAACAACTTGCCGTCCAAACTTGAAGCGCGGAGGTCGCAGTTGTCGAAGACTTTGTCACAGAAGTTGGATTTATTGCAGACGACACTGTTCACTGCTGGGAAGACGTTGAATAATTTAACCGGATACAGTGAGATTGAATTATTACGGAAAGCGATTGAGAAGCAAGGTGGATGTACTTTAATAATGACTGCAGACTTGATTGTTAACCTAAGTATTAGAGCAATTGTTAAAAAACACTCGGAACGAAGTTAAAGCAGCCAAGGAAGCTTACACTGACGCTATTGCGAGCCGTTCTGCATCTCAGCGTGAAGTAAATGAGTTACTCCAACGCAAGCACGCCTGGAGTCCCAACGACCTCGAACGCTTCACGGAACTCTATCGGTCAGACCACGAGAACGAGCAAGCGGAGGCGCACGCCCACGAACGGCTCACTCGCGCTGAACACGTAGCCGACGATGCACAAGCTGCGCTGAGCCGGTCGATTTTGGCGAGATACCACGAGGAGCAGATATGGTCTGACAAGATCCGCCGGGCGTCGACCTGGGGCACATGGGTTTTGATGGGTGTAAACCTTGTGCTGTTTTTGGTTGTGCAATTGGGACTCGAGCCATGGAAGCGGAAGAGACTTGTTGGATCATTTGAGGATCGCGTGAGGAATATTTTGGGGACAGAGATGATCTTGACTAGAGAGCAGGTGGAGAGTATTATTCAGGACGCGGTGGCGAGACAGGAAGCAGGGTCTGCGGTTGCTACTGCTGATGGAGGAAGGGATGGAGGCAAGGGGGGGAAGGAATCTTCGCTTGCAGCTCCTGATCAAGTACCAGTACTGCCGGGGAAACCCAGTATAGCCTCATCGCGCCCTCGTCGACTGTCGGTACGCTCAGCAAGCGACGCAGTCAACCTTGTAAGTAACGTCTTTGCAGGACGCGGGGACAATGGGACAACAATTCCTAAAGACGCGATATTCGAGTCAACGCGAACTGACTTAGCTATATGGTCAGGCGCTAGTGCTGTTGTTGGTGCTGCTGTTGTTGGATTGATCACGACCTTGTTGCAATGGCGGTGATCGTGTAGATTTTAGAATTTTTTTGGCATGTATATATAAGCGCATCTTTTTGGAGTACCTAGAAGGACACATGAATGTTAGAAATGTTATTAATTGACCTCTGTCATCACCACCTCCACAAAGCACCGGCGTAATCACAACTAACACCAGATTCTGTCTTGGCAGCGTCATATCGTGTAATATCTGGTTGATTTATAGAGATCCCTGCATACTAGTTTAGGTATAATCATACTGTATATCTACATCGTGTGGTGAACGTGGCATTCGAGCATTCGCTTATCTTTTCCGCGAACCTAGTCTGCGTCACGTCCTCCTCAACTGCTCAGGGCCCACGAAATTTATCTATTCACCAGCAACTACACAATCATAATCTGCAAGACGGGGTTTAAACAGACTGTTTCTCCGTACCAATCGGATGCGCCATCTTCTCTGCGATCTCGTCATCAGGAGAATAAGCGTACTTCGACCTGGCCCTAATCCGCGCCCCAAAAATGTAGAAAAGATACGGAATCAAACAACAAGCGAGAGAGATGAAAGCGAGAAGGGAACCAGCCCACTCGTTACCTAGTCTGTGATATATCTGGATCGTGAAAAGTGGTACGGCTGCGCCCCAAATAGACCGCAAGAACGTCTTTGCGGCGAGAGCCGAAGCGGCGTGGTGCTGATAGGAGTCGACTAGGTAGTTGTTCGCGGAATTGTAGAGAAGGCAGAAGCCGAGACCGCACGGGAAGCCTGCGAGACACGGGCCGACCCAGATAAGACGTGGGTAAGATGTCCAAGTGAAGATGAAGAGACCGATGGGGATTAACCAGCAACCGAACATCATCGGGATTAGTCGGACTTTAGCAGGTGGGCGACCGTTGTATTTCTCGACCATCTTTATGTAGTGGCGGTTCACTAACGGTGCGATCATAGCGGAAACGGCTATGGGGATGAACATGAGACCGATAGGACCGATCTTGAAGTGCTTTCCTTCTGCGAAAACCACGGGGTACCTAATGTAGACAGTAGAGTTCGAGAACTAAATCAAACAGAAGAAAACATACGCAAAGAAGAACATGTACAAGAGACCGTAAATAACGGACATGTAAACTGTTATCAAAAATACAATCAACTCCCCAAATAGCAACATAAGCGGACGATACAAATTGACCGCAATCATGTCCACGAGCGGACGTGGGCTCCGCTCAAGCTCGTCACGTAGGAATTATCGCCCGCCTGCTTTCGCAGCTTCTTTGCCCGTCGCTTGAGGATTTCGGGAGCGTACGTCTCGGGGATGGTGAAACATACAAGAACGTAGACTGCGCCGGTGAAAATGAGCATGACGTAGTAA